CGCCAGTGACACCGGAAGTGGACGAAAACGCGCAAGCGAACGACCGTGAAACTCGCTTCGAACTGGTCGGGCGGGAAAAACGAGGTCAGCCGTCGTTGGTATCGCGTGGCATCGGTGACTGGAGGAAAGGAAAAGAAACGAAAGTCGTAAAGGTAGATGCGGCAAAGCGTGGACGCGCTTGCGCCTCACGGATACGCGGACGGACGACCACGCGCTGCGGAAAGCCAGAGAAGCGAAAAGGGAGAGAGAGGCGCGACGCAGTCAGCCTTTAGGAGACGACGCGGCCACCGTGCTGGACTGAAAGGGGGCCGTGGAACCGTATATTGCCGGCACACAAATGGACGAACACGAGTTACGATGAAAATCTGAGAGAGAGAGAAGGAGGGAGAGAAAGAGAAAATTGGCTGGGAGTAAAGGCGGGGGCGGTGGTCCATGTGCGTAAAGCACCGCGTGTCGGGTCTTATGTAGACAGGAATTGGAGTATTACGGTGTGTCACCTTAATCTTAGTCCGTTTCTCGTTTGTGCGTGAGAACGCGTGGTCGTCGATCACGAGGAGTTAATTAAGGTTCAAAGAAGGAGCAAATTGGTTGTGATGCAATGGTTCAGATATGCGGACGACTCGGTGCCGGTCTTGACCGCCCGTCGGATCGATGGTGAATTAGCTCACCACCAAGCTTGTAACCCGGTTCACCGGTTTCGTTTTACATCGATCGTTTTACGCCGTGGATAGGTTTCGTGGGATTCGACGAGTCGGTGGATTAATAGCAATTACATACTTCGCGTGTAGAGACGATAGTAAAACGAAGTCATTTACTCCGAGTGATTACGGTCGCGTAAATGCTTACGCGAAACTGTACCACGATTCGAAAGCATTTGTTTCACGTTTCAGAGACAGACGGTAGATTCACCTGAAGCATCGGTGAATAAAACTGGAAGAGGCAGCGGACGAGGATCGATAGATCCGCGGGGGTCAGTGATCGATCGCCGCGATCGAGAATAACACGCGTTCACTGTTTGTGTCTTAGACACACGACTGATGGCGAAGGAAAGCGGAGGATGCTACGAATAGGAGATGACGCGATGCGCGAATCACGAGAGATGACGCGTTCGATGACGGAGCACCGGCAAGGAAACAGCGAGGCACTCAGCGTGGTTTGGCTCGCGTGATCCAACGTGTCCAAAGATGTACGACGGGCAAAACAAGAGAACGGCCGATAAATTTCTAGGTATTATCTCGTTCTCAATATCGAAGCGGACTGGTCGAAGGTTAGTCGGGAAGACTAATCGGTAATGTATTACGCGCGATGATCTAACGAGAGAAGACTTGAAAAACAGCCGCCCTTGTTGTCTGTGCGCCGTTCATTGACCGATCCGATCATTGTTGTTTCAGCGTGAAGAGGCGGCAATGAAATCGAACGTGCGTACACATGGCTCGGGAACAATTGCGATTACGATCACGTTGTCATCGACGATATCACCAGCAAGGTGTCCACAGTTAGCTTACAGAAGGGTTGATAAAGAAGAGGAAGGGGTTGATCACTGAAAGCTTTCGGAATGCGAAAAAAATAAATCGGGGAGAAAGGGGAGAAAGAGAGAGAGAGAGAGAGTGAGCAAAGGCGGTGAAGTTTGACAGATCGGTATGAGGCAGGGTAAACGAAACTGGTGAGAGACGGTCGCGAGGCAGTGCCGTAGTCCTGGGGGCCCAGGGTATACGCATCATCTATTAATAACCCGTAACGCGGTAGTAGTGGGGCGCTGTCCGCTAGCGGGTGAAAATAGAAAAGAATGTTTTTGGAATCCAATTGGACTTGGTTGGTCGAACGATGGGGCAATATGGCCGACTTGGCCGAGCGGGTGGACGATCTGATATGCAGTTTTGACTCGACTGGTGACACGACCATGGATACGTTGTCGATGCTGATGTTCGGCTGGATGTTGTTCGGTTTGGTGGTACTGTGCGTCGGCCAATATATTTACAATCGGTTCGTTGTAAACGAGATCGTTTCTGGGACAATAGTTACCGCCAAGGACGGCCATATCGTTCACGGTGATAGCGTGAGTGTCGGTGGTGGTGGTGGTGGTGGTGGTGGTACCGGTGGTGGTGGAGGTGGCGGTGGTAGTGGCAGCAAGTTACTTTCGCTTGGCAGGCAAAAAAATCTTTCATCGGGCTCGGGAGGATCATCTGGGGCCGGGGCAGGTGGTGGTGGCGGCGCCGGTTCCGGATCAGTTGCACCCGTCAATCATCCGGCCGGTGGCGGTACCGGTGGCGGTACCG